GTCAAACGTCGTCAAAAACCTAACAAACATCACTGAATTGTTGTCATCATATATAGGGGTGTCAATTTTGGCCTTTTTGGGTCACGGGTCGGGTTCGAATCAAATTTGGAACTGACTTGACACTATTCAGGTCAACTCGAGCCTGACCTATTTTTGCATATGGGTCTATTTTATGGACCCGAACGCGACCCGCTTCGAGTTCGGGTCAACCCGTCCCGATTCGGCTTCAGCAGCGGCACAAAACAGATGACATCAGTGGCCGGCGTTCGACGTCGGTTTCGTCATCGCGCGACAGTGCGGTAGCGGGCAGTTTTCGCAGCTCGACTACACAATAGCGGGGGCAAGCAAGCAGGAGGGGCAACCTGGCAGGCGGGCATGCGACAGCCGGGCACGCGACAGCGAGGGGCAGGCAGGCAGGCTACGCGGGCAGTTCCGCAGCTCGATGCACACGAGTAGCCGGGGCAACCGGGCAGGCGGGTTACGGGGCAGGCAACTAGGGCAGAGCGGGCTGCGGGGCAGGCGGGGGCAGGCAACGCGGGTAGAGCGGGCATACGGGTTTTTCAGCTCATTTTCGGCTTTTCGGGTCAACCCGAAACCGACCCGGTTGTCACAACCCAACCCGACCGGAACAAATCCCATCGCATCTGGTCGCGACGGGGAAAATATCCAGGATCTAGCTTTGGAATTTGCTTCAAACTTTCTTCCAAAACTTAAACACACAGAAAACACAGATCTACTATAATCAGTCAATATACATAACAGTTCATTTATATTTTCTTTTTTCATCAAAATAATCATATACTATACAGTGCATGGCTACAGACAGAAAGAACATAATAGAACAGAAAAGTCATGACTGTACAAAAATCAAAAGTACAAAATACCTAATTGCAAATCAGACACTGAACGGCTAGTCCAAGACTTCATTCCCTTTCCCAGAACCTGAAAACTACGCATATAACAAGGATGAGCCAACAACTCAACAAGATTACACAAGCCAATCAAAATCTCCAGAAACTCATATCAGAAAATACATCATAAGAGTAGCCGTACATAATTCAGATAATCGTGCAGAAATCATATAAGCAGACAGAATACAGATACTTGATTAAACAGAAATCAAACCACAAATGGAATTCATTTCATATAACATAATATTCAAGTCAGATTTCACAGAATAGACAGAATCGTACAGAACAGATAGAATCGTACAAAATAGACATAATCGTACAAATCAGATAAAATCACATTTCACATATCAGATAACACATATCAGATTCCCAGACCATGACAGAATCTCTACAGATTCTGGCCCCTTATGCCTCCATTCCCTGACACAAAAAAAATCTTAACAGATTCTGACCCCTTATAACTCCCTTGTGCTTACAGCACCAGAACTTGTCAGATATATAGAATTTTCAAAACAGAACTTATTTTCAGATTTCCCTGACACAGAAAAAAACCCTAAGGATTCTGGCCCCTTATAACTCCCTTCTATATCACAACACATCAAAACATTTAAATTCAAAAATCCTATGTCATCAGAAAAATTATTATATTAGCGGCATAACGGTAGTATACAGAAATTCCACAGAACTCACAATTTTAGAAATTTACTAAATTACCACAAATAGCAGAAAACATCATTTCAAGACTTTCATTATACTGAAGCAAATATTATTGGCATTCATATAATTCGCTATTCGATAAAAGCTCTATAGAATTCAAAATACAAGGTGAAAATCTTCTAGAAAATACTAAAAACGTGCAAAAACATCGTCTAAAAAACATATCAAAAGTTACACGGTAAAATATTCACAAGTACGAAATAATACCAGATTTTGGCTAACGGAAACGAAAGTTGAAACAGAAAAGTCGTCAAAATTCATGTTTCTGAAAATTGAGAAAGACAGAATGTGCCTTACCTCGAGTCGAGCAACTTTCTCAACTACGGCGACGGACAAAAATGGACTGAAGTCGTCCAAAATCACTTTTTCTCTTTTTTTTTTCCTTTGTTTTTCTCTCTCATGGGCTTTTCTCTCTCTTCAAAAATATCTCAATCCAATATATACACATGCAGATCGTCCCGGACGAAGTGTATTCGTCCCGGGACGATTTTCCCTCAGGACGAATTTCGTTCAAACGATGTGTATTCGTTCCTGGACGACTTGCTCTCTGGACAAATTTCGTACAGACGATCCAAATTTCGTCATGGGACGAACCTCTCCGTCAACAGATTTTGTACTGATTGTCCCGGACGATCCAACTTTGTCCCAGACGATCCTGGAAGGAAAAAAACTGCAAATGAGCTTTCACACCGATTTTACAAACGGGTCAATTGTTTGGACCCGAACCCGAACCGCTTCGAGTTCGATCAACGCAAACCCAAAATTTTTGGGTCGGGGTTCGGGTTGGTTTTCCAGGTCGGGTCCAATATTGACACCCTTAATCATATATACAACCACATTTGGATTGCCACCACAAGATCACTACTGTTAGACCTCTATAGTTTAACTAACGTTTGAACATTGTCATCGCTTGATCACCATCAGTCTATCATCAAACAATTGTCGTCCGAACACCTCCACCTAACTACTGCTCGATTCGTTTATCACCATTTGACCACTATCACTGTATAGCCATCTTATGATTCTCATTGTTAAACAACCACCACTAAATCATTATCATCACCAGACAAATTGCTATATATTTGAATATTGTTGCACTATTACTACAATTATTGGATCATTATCGTTGGACATCCACCATCCGAATCTCCTTCATATTGTTGACGCTAGATAAGCGTTGTTAGAATATTCTTTCAACGATCATCATCGAACCATTGTCGACCAACCGTACTATTGGATCGCTACCGCCCTTCCTTCGCTACCTAGCCCTTCCATCAAACCAAGATACTCAAATTGCCACCGCCCGAACACTATGTTGGACCATTTACCTATAAATCACCACTATTCGATCACTACCATTTGACCACAACCATCCATGCTCCTTTCCCTTGTTATCGCCTTAGTAATATTTTTCAACTCTCATAGAAGGTCAAGCCATCAACTTATACTATTATAATCTCACCTTCTTTAATTTTGAGGTCAAACTAATCTTGTAATTGATGTTTATCTAATGACATCATTTCAGATAGATCCAGCTCTATAAATTTTCTCATTTTGACTGAGTTTTTTTAATAAAAGTTTAATAATCCATTTTTTAAACTTTATCTATGCATGCATCAAATATTCGTAGAAAATTAGGATGTTAAATTCTTCCGATACTCAATAGCTAGAATTCCTTGGCTATCAATTTTATTTTAATTTTTTTATTTATTTTCACCTAATTTTTTTTATGGGAAATCTACCCCACCTGTTTCTCTCCCCTTCTTATCTCCTCCCATTTGATCCCATAAATACCGCATTGATCGATCGTCTGTTCTTAAACGAACCATTAAAATCGGTTCTCAATTTCCTTTCTCCTCTTGTTCCGCGCTAGCACTGCAATCAGATCTACAGATAGCAAGCAATATGATGAACGAAACCTGCAAGTCTGAAGAAGAAACCGCTCTTCCTCTCACCTCTCTTAACCACATCTCTCTGATCTGCCGGTCCCTCGACGAATCCCTTGATTTCTATCAGAATGTTCTCGGTTTCCTCCCCATTCGTAGACCCGGATCCTTCGATTTCGACGGGGCTTGGTATTTTTCACTACTTTGGCTATCTATCTATCTAGTTTTTCGCTCCAAACTTAGTTTGATTCCATAGTTAGTCATTACCAAACAGGTTGTTTAATTATGGGATCGGAATCCATCTGCTGCAATCGGAGCATCCAGAGAGCATTCCGATGAAGGGCGAGATTAATCCCAAGGACAATCACATCTCATTCCAGGTATCGTACTGTTAGATTAAAATATGGATTCTTTTGAATTAAAAATTTAAAGCAGAACAGATCGACCAATTTAAAAATATTTATAACATGTTCGCTCATTTAATGCTCACATGTTACGATAATTTATTTAATGATTTCTTTTATGTTGATTTATCCATATTTATAACTCATTAATTTCCAAAGCATATTTTCTTTCTACAAAAGAACCCAATTCGATTAACAGTCGAAGTGGATGAATTTTGCTAATCATGAATGCTGGATTGATTATGTAGTGCGAGAGCTTGGCTTTAGTGGAGAAGAAGCTCAATGAGATGGGCATCAGCTACGTGCAGAGGACGGTTGAAGAAGGAGGGATCTTTGTAGAACAGATCTTCTTCCATGATCCTGATGGCTTCATGATCGAGATCTGCAACTGTGAGAATCTCCCCGTCGTTCCGCTTCCTGCAGGCGAGCTTGTGGCCGGAGCTTGCAAGCGAGTTGGTTGCCTCAACCAACAGCAGCAACAAGTGGCACAGTGTCTGTCGCCTGCAGTTCATGTCACGGAGCAGGAATCTCATATTTCCTGTGCGTGAGAAATTAATCATTTGATTTTTAGTGTGTGTAGCTTAAAACATTTTTTTGTGTGTATTTTTATCTAATATTTTGGTCAATATTATCACTCCTACTGCACTAATATTAAAGAAAAAAATATTTTAAAATATTATGATGCAAATCTTTAAGAAAGCAGCTGTTCAATCCATAAAAAAGAATATTTTTTATGATATTTAGGATTGCTTTCAAAATAATGATGTCCCCCACAACACTTTACAATCAAATTATCAAATGATGTAGTCGTCTCAGACCATCTCCAACCGAACTCTGTTTCATTGTATGTCGTCCGCCATTTACTCCATTCGAATTTCAAATCGCACCCCGAATTATGGCGTATGACTGTTCACCTACCCCAAAAAAATTCGATGCGGAATTTGGTGAAGAACGCGCGAAAGAGGAGGAAAGCGCGACAAAGATGGTAACCTTCGTCGAAAGCGCCTAAAGAGGAAGAAATGACATTCAATTGGAGAAGAATGATTGCATTTTGGAGTGGAAATTGGGGTTTCTGTTGGAGATGCTCTCAAATAGATTCTTAAGTTTTATTTGGGACGGCTTTCTTACTGATCTTAAAGCAGTTTTTTTATATACAAATTTTATTTGTTGTACTAAAAATCTACTTTAAGAACAATAAAAAAGTGGTCTTAAATGAAATATTAATTATTGAGCTTAAATTTTATCAGAATATCATAATTCTTATACAGAGCAATACTTTTCCATCCAAAATTTTAACAACTGATGTTGAAAAATTGGATGAGTAAAACATTACTCTATTAAAATATATCAAGCAATGTTGACTATTGGGCTAAGATAAATATGCATGAAATGATTTATAAGCTACACTCACTTACAATCAATCTTGATTTTACAATAAGGTGGTGAAGAACATCTCATTAAAATTTGTATTTAGTATTTAATGTAATTAATTTGTGTGGGTCTGTGTGTAGGTTCTATTTATTATGAAATCTGGAAATGTTGGCTGGGATGTCGGTGAGTGAAGAGGAAAATTCAATTTTTGTGGTTTTTGAGTTATGTTTGATGATTTTTTAGGAGATTTTGTCCTCACTAGAAAAGACATAACATGAAAATCCGAGTTTAGATCAATCTATTTAAGAAACGGATTGGGTTCGAATTCTAATTCTCGACCTGCTTGAAAAACTAGATAATGTTCAGGTCAACACACTAACCTGAAAATGACCCACGTGAAGCCCCACGCATCCCGCGTCCCACCTGCACCACACCATGCTCAAGGCTCACCTACAGCCATTCTCGCTCGCACCTGCGCCCCACGGTCTGCATCGAGCGGGTTAATTGGCTGGTCAGGTAGACTCGGGTTTGGGGTGGGTTAGGTTCGGGTTAGTGTAATTGGGTCGGGTTTGGATTGGATTTATTGAGGGCGGGTCAATTTCATATTAGACTCGAACCTGACCAGAAAACATATTTTCACACCCATAGAAAAATAGTACCATCATCTCCAAAGCAGTAGAATTTTGCATAAAATTAGCCATCTCTCTAAATGATGGCGGGGCATGTATTTTTTCAGTTAATTCATCATCTTGAAAGAAATTGGGCCAACATTGTCATTATGGATATAAATAAACTAAATAAATATTCATCATCATTAATTAAAATTAGAGTAATAAAAAATATTAATTATTGTAAAAATAATTATTTGTTGATAACCCTTTTTAACATGGATAAGAAGCTTGATCAAAATTATGTCATTAATAAAGTATGTCATTATTATTTTAAAATTTCAATTATACTTTGAAAAGTAACATTAAAATAAATAAAAAAAACTTTGAAAGTAACATTAAAAAAAAAAATTAGCTCCCTATTGGGGACAAATTCGTAGAATATCGAATCACTTTTATATAAAAATTTGAGATTTCATTATTTCCAATCATTTAATTGTAAATATCAATTAATATATGAATAAATATACATATGCACAAATAAAAATCTTTTGTGAAAGCCACATATAGAGCCAATACAACAAGACATCATATTAGCAAATTTTTCATCAACATCACTGAAGTTTTTTTTTTTTTTTTTTTTTAAGTGTTCTATAGCCTTCAAACTTTCGACTTAGCTTCTAACAAATGATCTCTTACACTTAGGAGTTTGTTATAGTTTTTCAAGAAAGTAATTTTTAGCTTAGATATAACTTATGAGGCTTCGTTTGGGACGACTTTCTTTCTGCTTCTTAAAGCAGCTTCCTAGTACAAAAAATTTAATTTTTATACTAAAAAGTTGCTTTAAGAATCATTAAAAAAGCCATCTCAAACAAAGCCTAACTCACCTTAAATGATTTTAATGGCATCAAAGCTAGCACCAATACTTAGTATCACCAATATTGTTGATTTCCAATGTAATAACTATGAACAATATTTTCTCTTTTGAAGCCAATTTTAAAAAAAAGTAATTGTTATTTCTCATGTTTTGACTCAAAGAAATAAAATTTTTTCAAGAGTTATTATAATTTTAAATTACAAATCATTTTATTCGTAACATATATATTATAATATTTTAATTACACAAATGTTTTCGTAATTTTTGGGTATTTGTGTAAATCTTTAAGAAATTGATACATATCGATACAAGTGAGGGTTTTGAGATAGTTAGGAGTTTGTTTTGCAAACTAATTTTACAAAAAATTTCAAAAAAGGATGGGCTATGTTATGTATGTGTATCTATAATTTTTGAAACTGTCAATTTGTAAATATAAAAGAATTTATGAATTTTTTTTGCTAAAAATTAAATAATTGCATAATTATATTTATATTATATTATTATTTTATTATAAATATCTAATGCCACTTACTATTTTATTAAAAAAACCTTTTTCTTTCTTAATTTGATTAACGGAGACAAACTAAAATAAAAAAGAATATAAAGGTGAAGGAGGAAGAAAAGCTTAGGTTTGGAGGTCATAAAGCCTTAGTTTGGAGGAAGAAAAGATAGTTGGTCCTATTAAAAAATTTGTCCGTCTCATTGTTAGAAATCATTGCTCTATTTCTAATTTCAAATATTTTGTGTATTTTATGTTTTATACATTTTAATTTGATGAAAGCTTGTAAAAGTTGCAATATCTTAATTTTTAGCGAATTTCATCACATAACTTTTAGTATGTGATATATATAGTTAATATAAGTATTTTGACTGTAATATTGTTGAATTTTACATGATAAAATAGAAGTTATTGTATTATGTATGATTCCTACTAAATAAAAATAATTGGATAGTTCATTTAAGCACATTGTTAATACATGCATATAGAATGGAAATAAGTGCATTATTGGATAATAGTTGATTGTTATTATTGTTATAAAATTATGATGATAATACGTGTGATGAAAAGAAAAAGTTAGTTTCACTGATGTTGGCTGACCTGTATAGGGTAGTGGGCTGACAGAATTTTCTTTAAATATTGTGGTTGTATGTTATCTTTTAATGATTCATGTGATACACTGATTGAGAGTTATAATGATCAGTTATTAATGTGCTGACAGAAAAATTAAGAATGACGACTCTATTTACTAAGCCAACGGTTACTAACAATTAACTTACTACTAGAAAACTATCACATAAACTACGACTTCTTACTTGTTTATTATGATTTCTAAAATACATGTTACTGATTCATTATTATTATATGATCTTACAATTACTATTTATTGATTTACTGTCTATTTGAATTTATTGTTATTATACAAATTTACTATTACTATTACTACCACCAATTTCACTAATGACACTATGCTAATATTAAGCATGTGACATATTGAGCACGTGACATACTGATCAGCATGTGATTAAAATACTAATTTGATACTGATATAGGATAACTTTATAATATGAGTCCATCATTATATGGTTTTACTATATTGATATGATTCTGACAGCTCTTATTAATGCTTTGATTTTAAATTTTATATAATTTATTTACTAATTGCTAATACTGATATGATGACTGTCTTATTTATTCAACAATCGTACTGATTTACTAGTTTTTTTTTTCATTATACTATGGTATTAGCTTTTGTATTGTATTATTTTATCGTTTACAGACTTTATTGTTACTGTATATGAGTTTTTTTGCTTTTGCAATGATTAATGATTATATAAATATTACTAATATGATTTGATTGCCGACATGTATATTACTTTTTTGGCGTGCTTTGAAGTCAATTGTAATATTTGGTTACTTGGCATTTATGAAGAAAAAAATGAACCAGGGTAAGAGAATAATGGCCCTTCGAAGTGATATATCTAATATGGACAATCAACACCTTTTTTAGGGGAAGGCCGAAGCTTTGCTTTAGGGACTACAAGCTTTGATGTCTTTTTTATTCTTATGCTCCATTTGAACAATTTTTTGGCCTATTATTGAGAAAAATATGACATGCTAAGAGAAACATGTCTCTCCTCAAACTCAAGAGGGATATTTATAGATTGAAGATTGAGAAAATAAAAAAAAAATGTTTTAGATTTTCTGGAGATAAAGATGGAGAAAATTGAAAAAAAAAATTCAAATTTTTTTGAGCTAAAAATTAACCCTTTTCCATCTATGAAAGGAATTAAAGAAGGATTTTTTTTTGAGATATTTTAATTATGAGGGTCTGAAAGCTCACATTAGGCATTTGAATAGGGTCTTAATAATTTTTGCTTTATTTGACAGATAATTTCATTGAAAGATAAAATAATAATTAAGAAAATTTTACTTTATTCATGACTCGTAGCTAGGGAGGCCCATGTTGATGTCTAAGGAGTGGTCGTATCTCATAATTTTTCTTATATAATAATTTTATGAAATGAATTTTTTTGGAAAACTTAAATATCTATTTCCAAATGACACAAGTTTCAATATATTGAAATACGAGGGCAATTAAAGCTTCATCATAAATCAACTTGATCAAGCACACAATAATTGTTTGAATTGGAAACCTCCAGAATCCAATTCAAGACCGCCCAAACTATGGTTTCAATAAACTTTATAATATAACTAAATGTCTCAATAAGGTGAACTCAATGAAACCAAATGGGGTCT